TTTTTAAATAGGGGCAGATATAATAAGATTTTTTTCTTCTTTTTGCTACCTTTCATTTTTTTATTTGATATGTATTTTTTTGTATGTGAATTTTTTTAATTAAATTTTACATTTATTCCGCTTTACAGAGTTAATCCTGCAGCTCTGTCTTCATCGTTTAATCTTGGTGGAGGTTTATGACAAAACCAAACTTTTTTGGATAAAGTAACAATAGTTCAAACTAAAAATCAAAAGAAGCTTTTACTGTGTGAATGCTGAGTGCTTAATGAATTTTACTGTAATTTTGAAAATGCTGAAAAAGCTAAAACTGAGTTGTTAAAAATAAAAGAACATTATCTAAAATCAGCTAAAACTAGCTAAATGCTACAAGAAGCAGATTGCTAGCTACATTCGAAAAAAGAAAAGGCTAGCTAAAAGCAGCAAAACATTATCTAGAATGCTTAAGTGTCAAAATACCAGCTATATATAAGCTAAAAGTAGCCAAGTGCTTGCTAAAAACAAGCAGCAAAAGGATAGCKAAAAGCTAAATGTAGCAAAATGCTAACTAAATACCAACATGCTGTATGTGAACTTTTATGTTTTCCAGCTGCCAGAGAGCAGCTGATCAGAGAGAAGGAGCGCAGAGCTCGGCTGCAGTACGAGCGCACCGTGGAGGAGCGCTGGAGGCGCCTGGAGGAGCAGAGGCAGAAAGAGGAGCTCCGCAGGGCTGCAGTGGAGGAGAAGAGGAGGCAGCAGCTCGAGGAGGAGAGGGTCAGATATTCGCAAAAATATTCCATTTATATGTCTGCAACACTGATGTGTCACATTTCACATTAACGATTTCTACCATCAGAAGTAAATGCACATTGAAATTTCTGATTTGTAATTTTAGTTTTTTTTAGTTAAAGCATTTATGCCAAAAGCTGCTGCTAGTTTAATTAAAGATGATACATTCAACTGTTCTGTGTCGAGTTCAGGAGCGGCTGGAGGCCCTGATGAAACGTTCTCTGGAGCGAAGCCTTCAGCTGGAGCAGAGAACCAAACGCTGGAGCAGAGCCTGTCCTCAGGCAGCAGGTAACCATTTACTACTGGAAAAAATACTTCATGTTTGTACAAAAAACATTGATGACACATGAGGTATGTTCAAAMCAGCAGCTTAAAGAAATGAAACTGTATGTATTTTTTTTTTTTTTKGGGGGGGGGGGGGGGTAGCTCATTCTTGACCCGACCAGTGATGATGGCCTGACTGTTAAAGAGTGCATAGATTTTTTAAAATATTTTTTCCATTTTTCCCTCATATGGAATTACCTGTCTGCTATTAATTATTTTTATTTGATTTTTTTTATCATCATGAACAACTGCACATAAAAAGGATGCAGCACAAATGCTTTGTGAAGCCAAACAAAAGCTAAATGGAACAAAATGCAAACTAAAATAATTTTTTTAAAGTTAAAATAGCAAAACACTGGGTTGTCCAATCCTAGCTAAAGCAGAAAAAAGTGATAGCTTATTGTAAGCTGATGCAATTTTTGAAGAGAACAAAAATTTAAAAAAGAAATTAGATATTGTAATACATGGGGAATTTTGGGAAAATAATGTTTTAAAAATATTAGAAAAATCACAGCCATAATGTCCTGAATAAGCTAAATATTTTTGACTTTTGAATGGTTACAACTGCACAAACTGTCAATGCGCAAAAGCAGTCGGATGTCAGAAAAAGTACAGAAGAAAAGACAAAGAACAAAGAGAAACAGGATAATGTAGCAACACATAACAGCTTTAAACAAACAAACACTATTTCACTGCATCCCAACATCCCTTATACGCTAATTCCTGCTCAGTCTCTACAGCTGCTAAATGAGACTTTTTTTTTTGTTTTCGTTTAGATAAATTCTTTATAATGCTGTGTCTGCTCTGCTCTGCTCTGCTCTGCTCCGCCTGCTGCCTATAGGTGACTGTGAGAATGCCCCACTCCCTTTCTCTGCTGCCTCCGCCTTTGCCTCCCCCCTTCCTGCTGTCAGCGAATCTGGTAAAGTTTAAGCCCCCTCACCATCCCAAATGAGTCTTCCTCGTGTTCATCCAAGTATTTTAGTGACTATGTCTGTGTTCTGCCTGGAGCCCCTTCTAAAGACACAGGAAAACAATGGTTTTCTTGTATTTTATGCCTATTTATTGCCCTTAAGTTCAAGTTTTATAACTCCAGTTTTGGTGTGTGTGTGTGTGTGAGTGTGTGTGTGTGACTAATTTTTGTGCAAAGAAATCATGTTTTGCTCTGTTTGGGCTCTTCTGCCTCTGGGACTCAAATCATTGAACAAATTTTATGCAAGAATCAAATATTTTCCTTAAAGTGATCTATACAAACAAATCAAGCATTTCCATGTTTTGCAGAACTGCAAGCTTACCACCTTGCAGGACTAAATGCATTAAGAAAAAGCTGCTACATCAGCTGTTTCTCAGACTAAACTTTTGTGGGCAAATTATGTTTTTCTCTATTTATCCATCACCCACAGCTAAATTATTTGCACTAGTAAACATATGCTTTCAGTGACTAGATCTCTCTTCRAACTGCCTGAAAAGTCAACCTCTGGATTAGTTTCCCAGGCTTAGTCTGTAATTACAAACATGCCAAAGAGCACTGGATCAAGAAGACTTGGAAATCTGAATAATCGAACACGATGGCTTTTATTTTACCAGTTGGTTGATGAGTTAGAAATGTATTTTTTTATTTTGGTGTTGTTTATTATCATGCTTTTTAATTTTGACAACCTGGGATTAATGTATTAAAATGACAGTGGCTAAGTGGTGCTGACTCTAGCTTTGTGCAGCAGACGGGTTTGGAGATAAATCGCAGATGACCTAGAATAGAAATATGTGCACTAAAATAGCCACAGATATTGTCAGCCCAGTGAGAACACTGGACTATTTTGAGAGTGTCCTTCATGAGGAAGACTTACAAAGGATGCAAAAATAAAAAAAAGACTATTTATAGTATTGTTCAATGAAAGCTTTATTTTGAGGCTTGCTTTTGTCAATATGCATTTGCACCAAGTCTGTGTCTTTTTTTGTGTTTACTGTCATTGTTTTAGGTTAGAAGAAAAGCAAAGAAATACCTAGAATACTCTTGAAAATTTTTCAAAGGCACTACTTATTTTATTTACTATAGTATAGTGTAGTATAGTATAGTATAGTATAGTATAGTATA